TTTACACAAGTGGATACCACAAAATCTTATGTTATACTTAATGAAAGTATAAATAAACTCTAAGTGTTAGTCAATCTATCGTTTTACGAATTCTCCAAAACTAATTTCAACGATCCAAACCGTCAAAATTATTTGTATATGCTTGGAGATCACTTCAGCAAAAAATCACAAAAAAAAAACATTCAGAGATCAAGTAACGGGACAAAGCTTTTCAACGGTTATAAACGAAAAATCACGATTTAACGGTTATTTTAACTCCGATTTTGATGATTTTTTATAACTACACTCATTGACCCTATATGAATACAATGAATGAATTCGATCTTCAATTTAAAATATTTACACAAGTGGATACCACAAAATCTTATGTTATACTTAATGAAAGTATAAATAAACTCTAAGTGTTAGTCAATCTATCGTTTTACGAATTCTCCAAAACTAATTTCAACGATCCAAACCGTCAAAATTGTTTGTATTTTCTTGGAGATCACTTCACCAAAAAATCACAAAAAAAAAAACATTCAGAGATCAAGTAACGGGACAAAGCTTTTCAACGGTTATAAACGAAAAATCACGATTTAACGGTTATTTTAACTCCGATTTTGATGATTTTTTATAACTACACTCATTGACCCTATATGAATACAATGAATGAATTCGATCTTCAATTTAAAATATTTACACAAGTGGATACCACAAAATCTTATGTTATACTTAATGAAAGTATAAATAAACTCTAAGTGTTAGTCAATCTATCGTTTTACGAATTCTCCAAAACTAATTTCAACGATCCAAACCGTCAAAATTGTTTGTATATGCTTGGAGATCACTTCAGCAAAAAATCACAAAAAAAAAACATTCAGAGATCAAGTAACGGGACAAAGCTTTTCAACGGTTATAAACGAAAAATCACGATTTAACGGTTATTTTACCTCCGATTTCGATGATTTTTTATAACTACACTCCTTGACCCTATATGAATACAATGAATAAATTTGATCTTCAATTTAAAATATTTACACAGGTGGATACTACAAAATCTTATGTTATACTTAATGAAATTATAAATAAACTCTAAGTGTTAGTCAATCTATCGTTTTACGAATTCTCCAAAACTAATTTCAACGATCCAAACCATCAAAATTTTTTTGTATATGCTTGGAGATCACTTCAACAAAAAATCACAAAAAAAAAAAACATTCAGAGATCAAGTAACGGGACAAAGTTTTTCAACGGTTATAAACGAAAAATCACGATTTAACGGTTATTTTAACTCCGATTTTGATGATTTTTTATAACTACACTCATTGACCCTATATGAATACAATGAATGAATTCGATTTTCAATTTAAAATATTTACACAAGTGGATACCACAAAATCTTATGTTATACTTAATGAAAGTATAAATAAACTCTAAGTGTTAGTCAATCTATCGTTTTACGAATTCTCCAAAACTAATTTCAACGATCCAAACCGTCAAAATTGTTTGTATATGCTTGGAGATCACTTCAGCAAAAAATCACAAAAAAACAACATTCAGAGATCAAGTAACGGGACAAAGCTTTTCAACGGTTATAAACGAAAAATCACGATTTAACGGTTATTTTAACTCCGATTTTGATGATTTTTTATAACTACACTCCTTGACCCTATATGAATACAATGAATGAATTCGATCTTCAATTTAAAATATTTACACTAGTGGATGTGGATATCACAAAATCTTATGTTATAATTTATATACTTAATAAAAGTATGAATAAACTATAATATTAATAATTATATACATTAATTTAATAATTTTATATCCCCTAAAAAGTAAAAACTATAATAATTATATATATTAAATTAAATTTAAAAATTGATGACCATTGGATCGGCTGAGATTTAATCTCAGCCGTCCATTTCATAATTATATATATATATTTTATTAAATTTGAAAAATTGATAACCATTGGATTGGCTGAGATTTAATCTCAGCCGTCCATTGTGTAGGTAATCAACACTCTCATTAACTCATCTTCAACATTACTCTTGAAGGCAATAAATCAAGCCAAAGTTCTAATACAATTTCATGATGATCGATGTAAATTGAAGATTTTGTAAATGAAGGTGTAAACTTTTGAGAAAGACTTACAATCTTAAAAACAAAAACTCTTTATCCTTGCACATTTAATATTTGTAATAGATTAGTAGTGTATGTATTATTTTTTTATTAGGCTTTTATTTTTGAGTGTAGACATAGTACTTGAACGAGAAATGTTTTAATGTTTTGAAGTAATATTTACGTGGCAATGTGTGGTATGTGCAAATTTAAAAAAAATATATTTTTTTCTTAACGGGTCATAACGGGTCGGGTCACTTTACCCGTTGGGTAAAGTGACACGACCTGTTAAGGACCCATTAAGATAACGGGTGTGACACGACACGACCCGTTAAGATAACAGGTGTTACACGAAAACGACACGAACACGATAGACACGACCCGTTTGCCAGGCCTAATACTAACACATATTTTGGTTGTCATGAACAAGTACATTTTGCTTTTTATGCATTTATTTCGCAGTTACAAATCTGACGATCATTACTCGAGCAACTAGTTGAGGAGTGGTGTGAAGGAGTTATACAAGACAGCTATGCCAAACAAGGACAGTTCAGTTCCCAGGACAAACATAGTGAGATCTGGAAGACCTGTAGCACTAGAAAGGCTAAAGGTAACCAGAGGATCGCTGCTACAGCGGCTGTGGAAAAGAAGTGCCCCAAGAAATAGGTTTGCACGTTCATAAGGAACGACAGATTCAATGATGATGAGGAACAACAATTCAACGTAAAACTAGTTTCGCCAAAGGAAGAAGTTTATAAAATTACAATCCCACATTAGGAACACATTTCTTTGATTATATATACACAGATGCAACATCAACAGAGGAATAAGAAAAATGAATATATCATTCACGCGGAAACAAAGTTACAAAATCATTGTTCATCATTTCATTCCGTTTCCTTTCAACTTAACAATTCGAAGGATATTACACCATGACAAACTAATCTCAAAGTAAATTCATGACTTACCATAAAACATCAAGCTCTGAGGCTCATATCCAATCCTGCTCCTGCAGTTTTAGCGGCAAATAAACCTGAGTCAAATATTGGAAGCCGAATGCGCTCAGAGCCTGAATTTCTGCTTTCTGCTTGGTCTTCACCATAAGAGTCAGCTCCTCAACCCATTTTGGATTCTTCTTCACAAAATCTTCCTCCAACATTTCTTTCCCTGTTTTGATATCCTGATCTGTCATCGTCAACCTACACTGCTCTGGAATTTTGTACTTGTCCAAATCACTCGGCCGTATCCCCAACCATTTGATATCCGGTGTGGTCAAATTCGCACTGTCATATGACATGTTCTTCGACCCACAACCATAAACCGATAAAATCTTCAGGCCATATGGATCACTGTCCACAAGGGCGAGCACCGGTAGCTTCAATTCAAGCTTCAATTTCCTCAAAAAGAGTCTAGTGGCTACATCCGGTTGGCCCTTCGCAGTCAGAATAATACACGGAAACCTATTGTAAAACCGATCCTCAGACAATCGAATAAAAGCCGCATCCTTCTCAACCAGCAATATGAACAATGCATCACTCTGCACATCACCAACTTTGTGGATATTGGGCGGAATGGCTTTTCCGCCCATTCCCATTTTGGTGCAATCAATCATATCGCCATTGTCGCTGAATATAAGCCTCCCCACAACTACACCTTTCTCGGAGGCAATCACATTGAGACTAGAGCGCGTACAGCCAACCATACAGGCCGCATCATCGAGGACCGAATCGGACTGATTCTGGTCCTGAAAGAGTTTGACATCGGTGTAGAAAAGGTCACGCTTGGTGACGTGGATGTCCTTGAGGCAGAGCTGGTGAATCAGCTGCAGAACACGAGCTGTGATGGTGGCCTTGCGGACGGTGGAGACGTTGGCGTACGGGCGAAGGGAAGTCTTGTCCTTCAACACGATGCGGTCGAGCTCCGGGATGTACAGCTGGTTGGCGGCGGCGCGTGAGGGGACCTGGAATGTGAAACCGTCGCCGTCGAGGATGGATTTGATGACCTTGAGCATTTGGAGTTCGATTTCGTACTGTACAGACTCGTGGTCCAGCTCGCGGACCTCTCGGCAGGTGGAGGAGATGGGGAGGTCGGCGAGGGTTAGGGATTTGGAGGAGGAGGCCGCGGCGGTGGTGGAGCGGAGGTTCTCGAGGGTTTTGTTGATGATTGTGTCTTTCTTGGGGACCTTCTTGTTGGGATGGTGGGTTTCGTCGTCGGAGCTCGGGTCGGGTCGACGGCGTTTCCCTTTCTTGTCCGCCATCGTTCGGATATGGGGAAAGAGAGAAGGGTTGAAGTGGCGGGAAGCGCTGAGGTTCGTGGCTGCGACTGATTTTTTTCACTCTAGGTATTTGTATTTAGGTTTTCTGATTACAAATGGAGGCCCGAACCCGAAGGCCCAACAAAACCCAAGTTGAAACTTTAAAGGCCCGAACTCGAACCAGGACGCGAACCCGAACCCGAACGCGAAGGCCCGATCAATTATTTCAGACGGTCGAAAGTGCCCCGCTACTCCCCGCTACATTACACATGGAGTAGCTTGAACGAAGATATTTGGTACCCAGTAGTATCACGGACGTACTAAGTATAGACATTCGTCGTCTACTGAATATGAACACTTTCGCTGATAACACGAAGATGGTGGTAGAGAACGACGACGTCCACATACTCCTGGCCAAATGAAAAAACTGTAACCCTGGCCCTTCATTAATCAACTGCAAACCCCTGCAATATATAGAAGTAGAGACGATTTTCAGCTCGATCGCTTAGTCAGAATTTAATCTGCAATACGATATATTGTTCTGCTAGAATAGCACCAAACCAATTGGAAATAAACATAAACTAACCCACAAAAAATATATCAAATGAAATGCAAGAACAAAATAGAAAAGACACCAAGATTTAACGAGGTTCCTCAACAGTCAGTGTAACTGGAGTACGTCCTCGGAGCTGTAGGAGCTCACCCAATAATCCACTATCAATCAAATGGAGTATTTACAAAGTGTCTGGCAATCTCACTACTCAATACCCCAATATACCCAATAGCTCTTACACACCAAAGAAACAAATAGAAAAGAAAATATAGAGACTAATTTCCTCTCTATACAAAGCCAAATGCTCCAAACTCCTACTGCCCAACATTTTCTTTATATATGCAAACTGTGAGCCAAGTTCAAGCAATGAACAACGCTTGAACAAACTTAGCTACACCAACAACCTCAGTCAACATTTCAACAAGGGTTGTATTTTGTTGGAATCTTTTGGAGATTTCACCAACTTCACGCACAAGTAATAATGCACATCTATGTGATTAGTCCTCGCATAATGAACTTGATGCTTAGCCAAATAAATGGTGCTCTAACTATCACAATGCACCTCCAATTGCTTCTGATCAACCCCTAAATCTCTAATAAGTTCATGCATCCAAATGACACCCTTTATAGCTTCCACAACTGCCATATATTCAACCTCTACAGTAAATAAGGCAACAAACCACTGCAAAATGGACCTCCAACAAACTGGCCCTTTAGCATAGTACAGATAGCCTATAGTAGACTGCCTTTGATCCAAGTCACCTGCATGATCTGAATCAACGTAACCAATTGTAAAGTTGCCAATACCAGAGTCATCCCTCTCAAAGCATAAACCAACATCTCTAATATCATGGAGATAACTCAATGTCCACTTAGCTGCATGTCAATGCTCTTTACTTGAATTATGCATATATCAACTCATCATACCAACTGAGCAACATCCGATCTACTAGCTTTGATGAATAAATATTGTCATTTCACTTGAAGCGTGCCATCATTCTACATCCAGAGACTCTAGCCAAATGAAAAACTAGTAACCCTAGCCAGTCATTTATCAACTGCAGTGCCCCTGCAATAGATAGAAGAAGAGACGATTTTCAGCTCGATCGCTCAACCTGAATTTAATCTGCAATAGAACTTATATAATTCCATTGTTTACCTTTGAAATTCAGGACTTCGAAACTCATTGAAAAGCTTCAAGTCTGTTGGAAAATTGCGGCAACTGAATGTCTCCAGGACAACATATGCTTGGCAATGGAAATCTGCGACTTTGATTTAATCGCTTCCTGACCGGAAAAGACAATGCATGCTGATGCACTTGAAATCATATAGCTGTCTTAGTACTTGTCATCTGTTGCTTACTGCTCAAACATAATCAAAGATGCTCAAAAATTGGCTCAGACGGATAAGAGACATTACCTTGTCAATTTACAAGATGTTCTTTTTAGCGGGGCCTGCAACTATGTTATACAATACCACCTTGCTGCCTGTGAAACAAACAATTTCTCACGCATACATAAAATTAGCACTACAATTATTGCCAAAAAATAAAAATGGTTAATTATAACTTGTAAATGTTCTCGTGATGATACATACATCGTATAGTACTTGTAGTAAGATGAATATACGGTGTCCTGTTCAAAAGAATGCTTCCACTCTATCAATAAAGCTTCTTGTAGGACATCTTAATACTCGCCTAGAATGCTTCTAATCTTGAACATTTGCTTGGACTCCCTTGAAGAATCCATTCAACATTGACCCAATCCCCTCAAATCTGACCTGGTTTGTCAGTCTCATATCATCCTAAAGATATCAGACTGTTGCTATCCGAGAATATCCTTTTGATGGCTAAAAGTTGCATTGTAGTAAACAGCAGTACTAATTTGTCAATACAAGCGACCAAAATCCCCTAATACAAAAGTTGCAAAATATCCTGTCCCATAATCTCACTGCAAAAGAATAAGGAAGACCGTCAATTTTAAATCTGGAAGTTGTAAACTAACATTTTGATGAGAACATATTTAATGAACTGAATGCAGTATGTGTTGCCATACATATATTATTGCAAATTCCAATCATATATAAGTGAAAAATAGTCGGTACAAAACAGAGCAACCTTGAATAAAGTTTATGTTTGGCAAGAAGCTAAACAGATGGCTATGTCAAATAGTAGATACTAGAGCTTTAGCCCGCGCATTGCCCCAGGAATGTCAAATGAATTATAAGCATTGTATATAAGTGTTAGAATAAGGAACTGAATGTGTTGTAAGGATTGTGCCTAGATATGTAAACACTATTTATATAAAACATGTACAAAATATTTACACAAAATATATAGCAGTTGACAACTCTTAATACATATAAAGAGTTAATCAAAATATAGCGGCTCCTATTTTACCGATGTATAAATTTATGTTAGCATGAAACTTATAAGAAGAAAATGGAGGGGGAAAGAGGGAAGGGGATGGGGAGCTTACAGACGTGCAAGCCCATTGTATGACTGGGTGACTTGTTGGAGTCGTGCATATAGCTACAATACTTCAGCTGATAAATTGATAATGCCTATGCTATGCTAAGTTCTTTCACAAATTGATCCTACAAACAAAAGCACAGACGATACTTAAAAAAAAAAGATGCCAATTAATGAAAGCTAGATAATCCCGACCCTGAATCTTCTATAAACAAAGCACCATGGAAAGTTTCAAACACTAAATGTTTTTTTCACACGAAAAAATGAGACAATGAAATAAATGTTTTTTTTTTTCCTACTAACATATTAAAGTTGATAGAGAGAACTTCAGTTGTATATGCAGCTGAACCATCCTCATTAGCCCTGCCATCAGGGGATTCTAACAACCCTTTGGTCTGGTCTGTTCTAAACTTATCTAAAGTTCCACAGAGCTTTGATATTCAACCACGGTATTTATTCACTTATTAACAATGATAGGTTTTGAAGTCACGGTACCATATTTGAATTATCGAAGAAAATGTGATTTTGTGTGCAGGTAAACATTTTAAACACCCACATCATGTGTACTTTTCCATAAGCAAAATGAATTCTATTTCAAGTTTATTAAGCCTAAACATGTAGTCCATGTCTTATTAAGTTGCTAGTACAATTTTGCAGATGTGAAAATATAATCATTCAACAGTGTACAGAATCATATGGTTATTCTTTATTATTGTTACAAAATAAAACATAAGCAAAAAACCAAAATTGAAAAGCTTCTTCCCGTACACAACTTTTACACTAAGCCAATATAACAAAATCTAAAAATTCATAGAAAACCAATTCCAAATTCAAACTTACAATTCTAAATAAAAAGAAAATTGGACAAAAGCTTCATAAACAATCAAGAACTCAATATAAGAGAGAAACACAGTTAATTTAGTCACCTTAGAGCCATACTAGACCAAAACTCTAAATCGCTTACCTTGACGTGTAGAGAATGTTGTCCTGAATTCAGAAACACTTGAAACTTCGTTTTAAAGCCCTAAAGACACAAACATAATCAATTAAGTACAAATGTACTGAAACATTGACAAATAAAAACACACTACAAAATAAAGAGTGCACGGTAAGATCAATAGTGAACAAAGGGTATAAATATTAAAAGAATCTAAATTTGAAAACATGTTGAATGGAAATGGCTTAATGTTTGGAATTAGGTTGTAGGCTTAGGTATCTAATGATTGAAAAAGAAAACATACCATATAGTAGTTGTTAACTGAAGTGGAATGTGTGACTTTTATACCCATTTGTAACAATGCAAAGGGCAAATGCAAGTTATAAAACAATGATCAAAAGCCTCCACATCATCAAATCAGTCTTTCTTACTTATTATTAATTAGTTTGTTACTATATTAGATATGATGTGATGCAAGTACATAAATTGGCCAATCACAGTTTTGCACCTTGTAGTTTAGAGATCTTTTATTTTCGTTTTCATGGTTCCAATTTGGTAATTTGACTCATGTAGTTTGCTTGTTTTTACAACTGATCCACAATGGCTTACGCCATTAAAATTGAAGACGGAAATATGATCCATCATACGCATGGTGATATGCAAAAATGAACAGTACAGAAAATGGCTTTGATGTACAAATCAAAAGTGGGAATTTGCAATCTTATTTGAGTTTTTATCATTTTTCTTCAATTATGTTTTCATTTATTATTGTTCATAACTCATAAGAAACGTAATTATATAGTATCTAAGAAAACTACAATAGAACGAAATTATAGTGTGCTTAAAGTTGTATTTACTTTGGCAGATCTTAAATTAATTACCTATAATTCGATTAATGTAAGTCACATGATGGTAAAAATTTTTAGGCATATAACTAGGGCTTTGATATTTTATATTCTAGTTGAAACTGTAGAGACAGCCACCTTAGAGCTAGGAAACGAACCTCGTATCAGCCAAAAGCCTCTTTGATGCTTGAATGAGAGAATGCCAAAGCCCTGCAAAGAAGTTAAGGCTGGAAAAATTGTGGGAGAAACTTTCGAGCGCTTAGTGCTTCTTGAAAACCCATCCCTTACTTCACTAATCTTCACATCAAAAGAACCCAGAAATTCAAATGAAAATATTGACCTAAACCCTTGAAATTTAAATGAAGAATCCTACAAAAAAGTAAAATCCATTTGATAAAGATGTGAGTAAATTCATTTCGTAGAGATAAACTCATAAGTTTAACACAATTAATTATCCAAAAAGGAACAGAAGTTGTCCACACCTTGACAAATTTTTTCATAGTGAGAACCTCAGTGCAGTTATCCACAACTTCCTTCAAGCTCTGCACCAATAACTAAAAACAGATAAAACAATCAAATAATACCTTATCCTTTATCAGCCATCTCAGGCATTGATATTCTAGGACGATTCTACACCACGAAGCACAGTAAAATGTAATTGACAAAACCAAAATATAATAGTCGAATAAATTTCACAAAAAACCGCAATAAAATAACAAAATAATCAAACAATCCCACACAAAATCCAATCAAAACTCTAACAACAACAAATAATACACTAATACTTCATAGGTGGAGCAGCAAACCACTTTAGTTGGGTTCCCTTGGCACAAATTTCAGTTAGAAAGTCAGGAGAATTCTAAAATCATCATCAAATACTTCAGAACAATTTGACAAAATAGTGTGCTTTTAATATTCCTTCCAACAAACAGTAAAAGGTTACGTTGTCCCTCCAGATAAATAAATAACAACAAAAAACAGAACAGTCACTTTACCCCAATGCCTCATGAGTATAAATGTGTTCCAAATGTCACGGTCATGTCTGCCTTCTCAAGGAGAATATATATGCAAGAACCACCATATGCTCCCTGCATGCCCTCTATAAATGTAAATATATTGCAACTTGGCTAATTAATAATGTGTGTTGTTGATATATTATGGATTACTTATGATGTAATTTAGGTGATAGAATGGAACTAATTAAGTTGGGTGTGAACACAGCGGAAAAAAAAAAAAAAAAAGGACTTGCAATCGGAAGTGCTTTGCATTTTGTACATCGTGTATTCCAATCCGTTTAAGACTTGAAGTGGTTTATACTGTTGCAAATACGCCTCCATAACAAACACAAAACATTGAATTCCGTTACCTTGTTGTTATTGAACTCTTTCTCAGTCAGAATCGTCGGAGCTTTGGAACCCAATCCGTCATCCTCTAAAGCTTTCTGCTTTTCAGTTCCTTCTCTCTTGCCTGCCAAATATCAAAAAATCGAAATTACTTTCCTTCGAAAACTCAGTAATTCACATAATTATCCTTCTGGGTCTGCAATTATAACATTAAAGGAATCAATTTTTCAAGATGTTACCTTTTCTTCCTCCTCCTTTTTCTTCTCTGGGTCTTCAAATCCTTGGAGCTGCCACATGCATACTCCCCACGCACCAATCTTGTAATTCAGATGATGTTATGGGGTCTGATGAGGGAGAGAATTGGATCTGGGTTTTTGATTTGATGAGAGAAAGAGGGAGTTGAGTGATATGCAGAAATGCAGCATTTGGGGGAACATAATGGCATTCGAGATGCAATTTGCAACGATGGGTGAAGACGGAGAAGCCGAGCGATCTGAAACCAAATGGAAAATGAGCAAGCAATTGGGGAATTTCTGCTACTCGTAAACTGTCCCAACGAAAACCTGTCTCAAGGAACCAATTAAAAATAATAACTTTGGTGTTAAAACCAGAGGAAACAAAAAGTGATGACGTAAACTGTCAAGGTTTAGAATGAAGAAGTAGGGTACCTTTAGAAGGGTGAATGACCCAGAATTATGGCTCAGTCAACGATAGATAAATCGAAGATCCTGAATTTTGGTCCCTTGAACTATAGATTTAAACAGAATATGTCAGAAACTTGACCATAATTTTAATTAATCGACTCTAACAAATGATACATTTAAATGCATGTATGAATACGAACAACGCTTCAAAACTCAGAGATGAACTTTATTTTTTATTTTTTTTCAACTAATAATATAAACCATATCCTTATTTCAACTAATTCACCGATTAACTGAAGTGGGGAGAGTGGAGAACAACCAAAAGAGACGCAAGGATATGATTGGAATAGGCAAGTAACCAGATGCATATTATGATGTAAACATATCTTGTCACAATTTTGTAAAGTTGAAAATTGTCAAATATTTAAAGAGACGGTTAATGATACTACTTTTTACAATACAAATAGTGTCTCAACTTAATCATCTATTGTAATCTTAAAAAAGCTTAAATATGATTAGGTATTGAGTTCTGTAACAAAAGGTTGTATTTTATTTTCTTAATTCATATCATGTACATTAAAGTGTAGTCTAGGAAAAACGAAACAGAAACATACATATAACATGACAACTAATTCAGTTTAATGAAAAGTAAAGGAGAAAAAAAAAAATACACGATAAGTACTCACGACAACCGAAAAGGAAGAAGGAAAGAGAAAAACCTATAATCCACGGAATATGTGAGATTTTGGGCCATTCTGTGCCATCTCTCTTGCAGTTCTCTTGTAGAAGAGGACAATCAGTAAAGCGTATGTTTTCTAATTTGGCAAGGCATTTCATAGCTTCAACTGTAGGTAGATATTTAAGATTCCTGCAGCACCATATCCGTAGGGACTTAAGAGATGCAAGGTTTCCCAACCACTCCGGAAGAGCCTCAATTCCTTCAAACTCGGATATGCTCAAATCTTTAAGAGAAGTAAGGTGTTGAACTTGTTCAGGCAGAGACTTGAGCTTAGACCAACCCGTCAATCCTAAGCTTTCAAGTTGTGGCAGAACCTGAAACGGAGGGAATGAATCGAGCTCCTTCCAAAACCCACCAATATCCAATTTCTTCAAGCTGGTGAGGCTATTTAATCCACCGGGCAGGCTTTTGAATCCACCACAACTAACCATCTGCAACTCTTGGAGATGGAGATGCGCGAGGTTTTCTACACTTGGAGTAGTTTCTAGATTTGGGCATCTTCTTATTTTCAGTATCACAAGAGAAGAAGACAGCTGTAGCCCATCTGGAAAATGCTTCAGATTTTCACAACCGATGATAGACAGTGAATCAAGAGAGGTACAGTATTCCAGCTCAGTTACCAGTTGGCTTATCACTCCATCACTACCTCCAATTTCCAATTTACGGAGGGACTGGCAGCCCCGTAAAGTTGGAATGGACTCTAGACACCTGCATTCATATATCGCCAGAGAGTGGAGGGTGGGTGGGAGGCTGTGAATCCCAGTGGATGTTAGTTTTCCGCAACAATATATTCTCAAATCCTGAAGAGAGGTACAATATTCTAACCCACTCGGCAGAATTGATAATTCAGGACAATGGTCAATAACTAATTTACGTAGAGCTGGGAGGCCCTGTGCAAATGGAATGGTTGTTATTTTGGAGCAGTAGCTTATTACCAACTCTTGAAGAGAAGTGCAGTATTCAAGTCCATAAGGTGAACTGGATAACTGAGGACAGTTATAAATGTGTAATCCATAGAGAGAAGTGAGACCGTGCATATCTGGAATAAGCTCTAGACTACTGCACCTCCATATATGCAACTCCTCAAGAGAGACAAGAGTTTGTAGCCCATCAGGTAGACTCCTAAGTTTAGGGAAATCAGAAATATGCAGAGACTTAAGGGAAGTGCAGTATTCAAGTCCATTAGCTAGTCTCGATAGCTGAGGACAGTCCATAATATACAATTTGGAGAGACAAGTGGGACCGTGCATATCTGGAATGAGCTCTAGACTACTGCACTTTTTTATATGCAACTCCTCAAGAGAGACAAGAGTTTGTAGCCTATCAGGTCGACTCCTAAGTTTAGGGCAATCAGAAATACGCACGAACTTAAGGGAAGTGCAGTATTCAAGTCCATTAGGTAGTCTGGATAGCTGAGGACAGTCCATAATATACAATTTGGAGAGACAAGTGGAACCGTGCATATCTGGAATGAGCTTTAGACTACTGCACCTCTGTATATGCAACTCCTCAAGAGAGACAAGAGTTTGTAGCCCATCAGGCAGACTCCTAAGTTTAGGGAAATCGGAAATATGCAGAGACTTAAGGGAAGTGCAGTATGCAAGTCCATTAGGTAGTCTGGATAGCTGAGGACAGTCCATAATATGCAATTTGGAAAGACAATTGTGACCGTGCATAGCTGGAATGAGCTCTAGACTACTGCACCTCTGTATATCCAACTGTTTAAGAGAAACAAGAGTTTGTAGCCCTTTAGGCAGACTCCTAAGTTTAGGGCAATCAGAAATACGCACGAACTTAAGGGAAGTGCAATATTCAAGTCCATTAGGTAGTCTGGATAGCTGAGGACAGTCCATAATATACAATTTGGAGAGACAAGTGGGACCGTGCATATCTGGAATGAGCTTTAGACTACTGCACCTTTGTATATGCAACTCCTCAAGAGAGACAAGAGTTTGTAGCCCATCAGGTAGACTCCTAAGTTTAGGGAAATCAGAAATATGCAGAGACTTAAGGGAAGTGCAGTATTCAAGTCCATTAGGCAGTCTGGATAGCTGAGGACAATCCATAATATACAATTTGGAGAGACAAGTGGGACCGTGCATATCTGGAATGAGCTCTAGACTACTGCACCTCCATATATGCAACTCCTTAAGAGAGACAAGAGTTTGTAGCCCATCAGGTAGACTCTTAAGTTTAGGGAAATTAGAAATATGCAGAGACTTAAGGGAAGTGCAGTATTCAAGTCCATTAGGTAGTCTAGATAGCTGAGGACAGTCCATAATATGCAATTTGGAGAGACAATTGTGACCGTGCATATCTGGAATGAGCTCTAGACTACTGCACCTCTGTATATCCAACTCCTCAAGAGAGACAAGGGTTTGTAGCCCATCAGGCAAACTCCTAAGTTTAGGGCAATCAGAAATACGCACGAACTTAAGGAAAGTGCAATATTCAAGTCCATTAGGTAGTCTGGATAGCTGAGGACATTCCATAATATACAATTTGGAGAGACAAGTGGGACCGTGCATATCTAGAATGAGCTCTAGATTACTGCACCTCTGTATATGCAACTCCTCAAGAGAGACAAGAGCTTGTAGCCCATCAGGTAGACTCCAAAGTTTAGGGAAATCAGAAATATGTAGAGACTTAAGGGAAGTGCAATATTCAAGTCCATTAGGTAGTCTGGATAGCTGAGGACAATCCATAATATACAATCTGGAGAGATAAGTGGGACCGTGCATTTCTGGAATGAGCTCTAGACTACTGCACCTCCGTATATCCAACTCCTTAAGAGAGACAAGAGTTTGTAGCCCATCTGGCAGACACCTAAGTTTAGGGCAATCAGAAATATGCACGGATTTAAGGGAAGGGCAACACCCAAATACATCATCCATAGTAATAGAACTCAAGTCCGGACATTCCTCTATCTTCAAGTATGCAAGATTCTTGTTGTTTTTTAACAACCCATCTGGCAGACAATCCAGTCCCTTTATCTTCTTTAGTGAGAGAGAAGTAAGAGTGGCCAGGTTGCTACTTATATTTGCTATTGGCATGCTGCTATCCATGGAATATATCTCTAACTTTCTAAGAGATGGAAAATGACTTGGAGCACTTCTCAATTTATCACAATTCGTCATAAACAGCTCATCGAGGCATGGAAACAGAACAATGTTTTCTGCAGCTTCCATCCATTCAATTAGGTTCTTGGCGTCATGGATTCTTAATCTTTTCAATGCAGGAAAGGGACTCCCAATCATCCACGATGCAAATTTCTCACCCATAAAGTTGCGAATCTCTAAATATTCCAGTTTAGTGCATGGTAGTTGAAGGCCTTCTAGTACATCCTCATCATTAATTTTGATCCGTGACCTGTCTCCACCCCATTCAAGGAATAATCTGTTTATGTTTGTCTTCTCCACTAATTTGGCTTTCTTTGCTTCTTCTCCATCTCTCACATTCTCTAGATTATGAATGGATAATTTGCCTTTCAATTGCTTTAAGCCAGCCAGCTCCTCTATTCCACGACCTCTCCCCTTACCCACAATGAAAAAGCATAATGATCGGAGATTAGTCAATTGCCCAACCCCAACTGGATATATCTCATCATCTCTTTTAAAATAAAAATGTCTCAAATTGATCAGATTAAGCAGCTCCTTTGGAAACTTTTCAACTTTAACTCCGAACATCCTTAATGTCAGTAGATTATAAAGCTTGCCGATAGATTTGGGGAGCATCCTGATTCTTGTTCTGGAAATATCTAGATACCTCAAGTGTTTCAACTTCCCAATTGACATTGGCAACTCATTGATATCAGCCCTGTATAATTTTAACACACGTAAGCCTTTAAATCTTGATAAGATGTCACCGAGAACTTCACCATTCCAAAAAATTGAGCGCAATTTATGTACACCTCTTTTTGGAATCTCTTGTAGCATTGAGGTAGAAATCTGTGCCACATATCGAAACTCATTTGATTCGTTGCTCTTTGTTGATACATGTTCTGCAAGATCATGCACAATATCGTGCATCTTGCAATGGGCAATAGTAGTAGCACTATATACTACTCACTTCAACATCCTGAAAAAAGGAGTTCTCCAGTAGAACATTAAAGTATTCATTTCCCACATCCTCCATCTCTAGATTACTTTGGTTCGGAGTAGGGCACTGAAGTAACCCATGAGCCATCCATAGATGAATCAAGTCACTCTTTGAAATTCTGAAACCTTTGATGAACATTGAGCAATATGCAAAACACCGTTTTAGAGATGCAGATTTCAATTCATCAAAACTCAACCTCAAAACTGACAAGATTCTATGTTCTCCTTCTTGTGAACCCCATATTTGATTGTTTAGAATTGATTGCCATCCATCACCCATTTTGCATCGCATCATATTTCCCAAAACCTATTGATACACAATCATGATTTTGAATTCTTATCAAAAAATACCGCGCTAAAATTTAAGAAGAAATAACAATATAAATTAAGAAATATGAAAAGTTTCATAGGTACAGTCGTTTTGCTAGGTATCCTTGTACGAATTTTTCCTTCCACTACTGTACATATCTAAAAGAAAAAACAAATAAAGTAAACATTTTAATCGAAGAAATGCTTGACCTTATAAAAAAAGAAAGCAAAAAAAAAAAGAAAAATATGTTGGACCATTTTAATATAGAGCTATTCGTACATTTGACAAAAACAAATTAAAAGTAGTAATCCAATGACAATTATTTCATAAAAGAGTTCAATGTTGCAGGTGGTGGATCACCTCTTGACCAAACAATAAAAAATGTGGTTGCTCACTGGGGCTCCACCCATTACTGTTTTGAAGGAGTAGGATTTTCTTCTCTCTTATTCTTATCTTCCTTCCTCTCCTCCTCTCACACATTATTTTAAGGCACATTCCCTAGAGTCATAGTGAAGAAGCTAACTTTTTTATGGGTCCAAAAAGATATATGGCAGACGGTTTTGGTAAAAGACAAAATGCTTAGACTAGACTATTGTTAATTTCCTTAGGAAGACGAGTGGTGAATTGTTTTGATGGTTAGGAGTTTTTTTTTTTCAACCCACTATATTCCAGTTTTAAACTTTCCATTTCCTTGGTGTAAATTAATTTAGAATATCGTTTGTAATAATGATAATATTTGAAGAATGGTTATGATACATGCATTTACTTAGTACATTCATCATCTGACAATCAAATATGCAACTAAAAAGAGAGAATAAAAATATCATATCTAACCATATATGACTGTTAAATAGTGAATGTATTACGTAAATGCAGGTACAGTTGCCAAGTTCTATTTTTTAATGTAATTATTGACTACATAATATTTTTAGTTGCTTTGGACTTATCTGGGTGCAACTTATATGTAGAAGTGATTTTACTTATCAATGACTTTGATTTTCTTTTTCTATAAGCGATATTCTACACTAATCTACACTAAAAGGAAGAGGGAAGGTTTGAACCCCAGACACAATTAAGTCTCAACTCTGGTAGAGCCCACCCTAAGCTCCTACAGCCTTCCTTCTCGACGACGACGTCCTCCTGCTGTGAAAAGTGAATTTTTCGAACTCTCTCTTTCTCCCTTTGATTGAACCAGTCAAAAATACAATGGTGGCCTTGAGGTTTGCTCGGCCAATCAATGGTGACACCACCACAGGTGAGCCATCAACCACGTCGGCGATCCATCAATCTTAAGTTTTGTAACAAGATGTTGACTGATAGGGATCTTAAGTTTTATCCACCTTCTATGCTGAGAATATTGGCTTGCAACAACAATATCAGGCATAAAACTTTCAAAAGTTATCGGATTTACTAGTAGCTAAGAAGAACAACCAGCTTCTGATGAAAAACCATTCGCCATGCCCAACTGGTTGAAACGTCGTTCCTTTGTGAGAAGCAAACGCGAATGCGCATTAAGGCCTAAAACACCAAAGGAGGGGTAGGGGTTAGGTCAGGAGCAAGTCGCCCCACTCAGCTGACAGGGGGAGGCAAAGTACAAGGCAAGCAAAGAGTGTGACCTAAACGTGAGTCTTTGGCTACTAAGGCTCAAGACTTCAAGAATAAGGGCAAAAAAAACTAAAAAAAAAAGGTATTTAGCCGACCTTGATATGTGTTAGCGTTGTAGCTCACCTAACCATTGGTTTAAGGTTTGCAAAGCCCCAACACATGTCGTGAAAGGGTACCACACCAAGAAGCAGACTAGGGAAGCTAATTTTGGTCAAGTCTCAAAATCGCCCAAGTCAAGAATCCTAAAGATACGATGTTGGAGGTTTCAGATTTCCAAGAGGTTGCTGCACCTTTGAAAGATTATAATTTTAGACATGGGGCCCTATGTTGGTCGAAATTTGCTAGTATTTCGGTCTAAGTTAGCGAACAATTTTACGTTTTCGGATTTCTGAGTTTGGTGTTTTGTATTTCGGTTTATTATTAGATTGGATATTGTTATGGGTTTCTTGAATGATTTAATTGAATTCAAATATGGTATTTGGTTTCCATAAAGGGCTTGCTCGGTAAAATCGAACTGGATGGGAAATGTTATTTATTTAATAAATGAATTACTATTAACCGTTGAATTTTGTCCAAATTGAATCTTCGCCCTCATTTAAAATCAACTCTCTCTCTCTCTCTCTCTCTCTCTTCACTCAATTTCCCACTTTCTCACTTCCCCCTCTCTCGACTCCTCTGGCCACACCACACCACACCACACCATGCCACACCACCTTGACGCCATACAAGCTCCTCCGCTATGGTTTTCTTCTCTACAACTTCTCCAGCTTTAAAGGTGGGATTTTTCACCATAACTCTGAAATTTTTTGTTTGAATGAAAAACTTAGGGATTTTGAAATTGACTAGGGTTTCAATTTGAGGATTTTGAAATTGATTTAAGGCATTCGATGTCAATCCCGTCCCAAATTTTATTGTAATTTATCCACCCGACAATGTGAAATTACCAAAAATGGCCCTAATAGGCTTAAATGGGAATCCCACGTAAACCTTGAAACTCTTTTCATAATTTGTCTCTTTTCTTGTATTATTAGATAGTACTCGATCTTACAAGCATGTCTGCAGAGACAAGACGTAAATCAAACGTGTAAAGAGTGATTTGCGCATGTTCCAAAGCGAAAGGCAAAATGGTAATTTTGCTCCCTCAATAACCCACAACTTGTTTCCAAGACAGCAGTGGGATGTCAATAATGCAAGCTGCATTTTGTGGAACTGTTGATTTACTAGCTAGACTTGTTATTCAAATAAACAGCAGGACTTGTTAAACAAGTGGGAAACTTGGCCCATTTATGTTACTATTTCCTAATTAAGCGTAATGCCTAATTAGCTTATTGTTTGGGCTTGACCCAAACACACGCATAGAGTAAATTGACCCATTCTTTTAGCATATTCTTATAATAGTCGTGACCACAAACGTGTGAGCACAAGAGAAACAAAATTTGAAGCTAAATAAAGATTTTTACAAAACACGAAATATCAAGGGCAATTTGATAATTTCACCATTTACTGAAGAGATTTGTGTTTCGTCTTTTTTGGTCTTATTTTGGGAGCAACTGGGGTCCACACCTCTTTCCCTTGTCCTAGTTCCCTCTCATCTATGTCTCATTCTGCTTTCTGTCAAACTCCCTCACTTCATCTTTCTTCTTTCTTTCCCTTATTTGTCATTGCTCTCTGTGCACACGGCACCGAGACCACCACCAAACCACCATAACTCGTCCCTTCTCTTCTCCTCAAACCTAGAAACAAGGATAGAAACCTCGAGCTCAAACCCAAACCAGAGGGATAACGATCTCTAATTCAAACTTCAAGTTCTCTATTGAATTTCTCAACGTTTCCAATCATGGTCATTCCCAAGCTATTTTCCAGCCAAATCTCATCGTCTTGGGCGAAATTAACACCACCAATGAATTCCCCACAATCCCATGGACCAGATTCGAGCTTTACATGCTAGAACATGTCACTTTCTTGACAAAACCCAAATTAGCCAAGACTTTCGGGCCCTTTTCAGCCATTTCCGACCACCTTTTGGCCTCGATTCAGATATAATTTGAACTCTCTCAATCTAAGCTCCATTTTGATATGTTTAAGGTCAAATTTGGTTGAGAAATGCCTCTGATTTATGTAATTTTCAATTTATGGCAAAAACTTCAGCCGGTGAACGGCTGCGTCGGCAACCATCATTGGAGAAGATGACGGAATATTCTTGACGGCGTCAACGTCTCCGTTGGAATATCAGGTTATTTGGTTAGCTTAAACAAAATATTCCGTTAGCTTTAACAAAGTATTCCATTAAGAGACGTAATATTCTAGTTGGTTCCAGTTAGCTCAGACTAATGCGAATCGGCTCGAACCGACTTGACCAACTTCAACCGAATCGTTGACCGTTGACTTTTTACCGGATTGGCTTTAAGACCCCTCCTAAGGTATTTTGAAGGGCCGATTCTATTTCTGCACTCCATTTCAGCTTATATACTTTTATGAAACTAATGGTTTTACAAAATTTTACTTTTTGGATCATTCATGTTTGTTTTTTGCCCCTTCAGAACTTAGTAAAGGTGCTGTTGTGGCGACAAGGATTACTAGCAATCACTGATCACCGATGATGTAGGAAGTTTTTTTTCCTTTATGTTGCACTCATACTTATGCTCTGGCAATATGCTTTGTAATAAAGGTTTTAACCCGCACATTGCGCACTCTCACTTTAGTTACTTTAAGTTTTTAATTTATTCACATTTTCCACTTTTATGGCTTCGACAAATTTCAAGTGTCGATCATCATACTAGACTGTCCAGGTGGACATTTCAGATCGGGTTGTGTCATTCGACCTGAGGATTTTGAAATCGATTTTGGGAATTTTAAATCGAGTTAGAGTTTAATATAATTTTACTAATTCTAAATCTCTAATCATGTGGGTTCTAAATATTTTTAAAGGAGAAGCGTTTCTGGTGCAATTTGAGGTGGATCTTCGTAGAATCCTCTTGCGATTATAGGCAAATCTCAATCAAATCCTCTTGCAATTCCTACGTCGAATCCTTTTATGATTTTGGGCAAATCGATATTATTTATGTCTTACTGATTTTCGGTAAACCAAAATTTTGGTTCGGTTTCAGTTTTTATTTCTTATTCTCGAATAACTTGATTTCGCTTTTTGGTAACTGGTTTTTGGGTTGATTACTAAACTGAAACCAGCCTTGTGTGTGTGTGTGTGTGTGTGAGAGAGAGAGAGAGAGAGAGAGAGAGAGAGCGTGATTTCTTTTCAATTGTAAATTTTATTTTGTTAATAAAATTAATAATATTAACTGCAGGACCCATTTGAAGCTTATCAAGGAAGAGGATTATACGTGGAGGCTCTAGAGGTAAAGTCGTGCCGGACTCGCTTTTTAAGTGAGTTTTGCTAGCAAATCTCTTAAACTAATCTATAGCAAAGGGAGAATGATGATCTAAATTTTTGTTATAACATTCTACACTTTATTTTGGCTCTCCCAATATCATTACCAAACTAACTCTTTTTAATATTCTTATGTGATCTTTCCTTTTCTTCAGTCTTATGCCCAAAAAAAAAAAAGTTAAATTCATAAGAAAGCATGTGAAAACTTGAACAAATCGGTAATATGACGTACCTTTGCAACTAATGGAACACCTGCGCATTTTTTGGCGATCTCCCTTGCCATTCTCTCTTGATCTTCAGTTAATGAAGCACTCCCATCTGGAAATGCTTTATCCTTCAATATGAGCCAACATTCATCATCTGCTAATCTTCCCAAATCGCGCCGATGAAGTGCTTGCACAGTTGATGCAACAGTAACACTTCGGGAAGTGATAAGGATGTTGCTTCCTTGAGTATCATTAACACTCGCCAAACAACTCATCAAATCATTCCATTTATGAGAATCTTCATTCCAAACATCATCGAGTACAAGCAAATACCTTTTCCCTTTCAAATCCTCTTGCAGATTTTTTAGTATTGCTTCCTTACCCTGCATCCCAGTCTTTTTCTCGTCAAGCTGTTCCAAGATCATGCTTAAAATCGTCTTCACTTCAAAATTGGTAGATACACATATCCATATTTTTTTATTGAAGTGTCTATCTATCTCGGAATCATGATAAACTTTTTTAGCCAATGTTGTTTTTCCCAAGCCTCCCATTCCCACAACGGCCATAACCGAAAGAGAACTCTCTTGGGTATTGCTTGAGTTAATCAAGGTTGTAACTATCTCTGATGCAACTTCGTCCCTTCCCACTATGAACATTTCATCTTGAACAAAGCAAGAAACGGTCTCCCTACTGTTAAGTAATCCAATATCACAAGAGGACGTTGGATCTGCAATTAATGTGGACCTAGCAACTAGTCCAATACTGGCTGCCATCTTATTCAACTTCTCCAAAGATGCGTTGATGTTCTTAATCTTATGTGCCATTTGGACACGAAATGCAATGGGATTGTGGCGTGAAAAGAAGTCGAGTACCTTTTTCTTCATTTGGTTTCGCAGTTCCACCTTGCGCCGGAGAACTTCATATCCGTATTCATCCAACACATCATCAGCATCATGAGCTATGTCTTCAAGCTTCTTCACCCAAAGTTCCACGGCTTCGCTCCAAACTTGTGATTGTTCGGCATCTCGTAACATAGCTTGCGTGATGGACAATGATTCACGCAGCCTTGTGAGTTCTTTCTTGAATCCCCAGAGAAGACTGAATTCTTGAGTGGCAAGTGAAGCAACTTTCTTCAGTACTTCCTGGGCGGCACCGAAAGTAAGAATCCTTTCCATCTTTCCTTCTGTTACTCAACACAAAGAACACAATGATCAACCGGTTGAGGAACCAACAAGAAAATTTCTCCCGGCCTGAGTGGTGAAGGCTATTATGCATTCATAGACAAACAACTTACATTAAAGGTTAAATGGCTGACGCTATTGAAATCGTCGTCTATATTTGATTAGATATTAATTAGTAGGTACATTATACTGACTTGTGAGGTTGATCAACGGCTACTAATAGCCTACTTATTATAAAAATTTATCAACGCCGTCCAAATTTCAGACTTTGGAATAACTACAGATGCATCTCTTTCGTGGCTTCCCTCAAAAGTCAAAAACAGCTGTCAATATTTGTCTTGCCTTCATGTATTATTAGTTTAGGGAACCACATCGCCCACCAGCAATAATTGTTAATATATATTCTTTTTCAAAGCCCACCAAACCTTATCGAATCATGTCACCATGGAAAGTGCCCTGAAGTTTTCAGATTCAAACTGTGAATGTGCTTTTCTTTTGGATCCAATTGAATTGTGAATCTGGTATATGAAGCATTTGGTGTCCAGCCGGCAAGAAGCAGACAAATCAAAACCTGTTGTAAAAATGCATGGTAAATATGAATGTTATTTATGTAGTTTGAGTAGTAGGTAAAGGCTTGGGTGGAGTAGGTAATGGCTTAATGGGTGTAGTAGGTAATGGCATTAAGTGAGTGTGGTATGTTTTGATTTAACTCCATCCTGTTCATTTGCCTATATAAGGAAAGTCAAAGTGCAGGAAGGAAAAACACATCAAGAAGAGAGGAAATTATGAAGATAACATCAAAGAGAGGAAGAAGAGAGGAAAGAACAAAAAAAGTTATCTTTGTACTCCTACTATTCTAGATAATGAATGAAAGCAGCAGTGCCCCGAGGTCGTACTCTAGTTACACTGACACTACCTTCCTTTCATTTGTGTCAGCTGAAATCTCATAGATAAGAAAATCTTTTCATTTCATCTTCAAATCTCTGTACTACTAATTTTCTTAAAGCAACTATATATCTTGGTATATAACTTCTATTGTTTGCAAAAAAAAAAAAAGGGGAGAGATTGGATTCAATTCCACAATCCAGCGCCTGAAGCGCTTGGAATCACCATGTTTTCTGGTGACAAGATCGACGAAAAGAATAAAAATTTATAAAAAAGGGAAATGGGGTTAAAGCTTTTGGAATGGTGCAGTTTTAATTGGAGAAATTTTTTATTATGATAAGAACATGAGTGGTAAATCAAGAGTTTTTATATAAATGGTGAAATTTTTTATTTTTTAAGTTATTAATTTTTTAACACACATATCATATTATTTGTATATTAACACATAATGTTTCATCTGTATTTCAATTACACTGAAAAATCTCTTTTTTAGTTGCATCATAAGAAAAAGTAAAATTGATAGTGGGAAGCAATGATGGCACCACCTCTATGTGATTAAAAATGTTTTGAAATGATGCGTAGACATTATATGAAAGGAAAATAAAAAAATATAAAAAAGTTTTGGAATGGTGTGTCGACACCATTAAAAGGTTTTGGAATGTAAAAAATAAATAAAATAAAAAAGTTTTGGAATGGTACGTTGGCATCATGTGGAAAAAAAAAAAAAAAAAAGCTTTGGAATGGTGCCGATAAAAAAAAAACAAGTTTTTGAATGATGCTTTGGTACCATGTGAAAAGGAAAAAAAAAGCTTTTGGAATAATGCATTGCACAATATGAAGAAAAAGAAAAAAGCAAAAGCTTTTGGAAATTGTGCAGAAAAAGCAAAATGCAAAAGCTTTTGGAATGGTGCGCTGCACAATGTGAAGAAAAAGCAAAAAGCAAAAGCTTTTGGAAATTGTGCAGAAAAAGCAAAATGCAAAAGCTTTTGGAATGGTGCGCTGCACAATGTGAAGAAAAAGCAAAAAGCAAAAGCTTTTGAAAATTGTGCAGAAAAAGCAAAATGCAAAAGCTTTTGGAATGGTGCGCTGCACAATGTGAAGGAAAATCAAAAAGCAAAAGCTTTTGGAATGGTGCGCTGAATCATGTGGAAAAAAAATAATAATATATGATGATTTTCTAAATGTGAAATAATGATGGCACCATGTGAAAAATTAAAATATAACAATTGGTGGTCGGTGTAAATGAAATTAGATTCTATGTGTACTTCGTATTATCTTCATTAATTTTGTTATTTATGTGAATAATACTAGTCTAAAGCCCTTTTTCAAGTTTTATTTATTTAAAAATAATTTATTTATTATCGTTAGAATTACTGTCTATTGCTTTAATTTATTTTTAAGTTTTGATTTATTTATGTGAATGGTGCTGAATTAAAATCTTTATCACAAGCTTTATTTACTTAAAAGCAATTTATTTACCATGTCTGGAATTACCGTTTATTATTTTAATTTATTTATTGTACTTCTTATGTTATGATGAGTATATACAAGACTCAAAGCTCCTTGATTAGATCAGAACTTGTAGTTTCTTATTCCTCATTATATAAAATGATTGGACTAGAGATTCCATCGTAAAAAAAGATCGGGCATGAAGTCCATTGATCATCAAGATTGGATATGAAGTTCCTTGATGAGTACTGTAAGTTTGAAGTGTCACAGTGCCACAACTTAATAAAGGTCATAAGACTCTCAGTCCACAGACTATTAAATAAGGACCAGAAGTTACTTGATTCATGTAAATGATGATATAATCCATGCATATTTGCTAAAGAGTTTACATCTCAATTTTTTTATGATTATTGCATGTCACTGGGTATTGATGTTGAACATCAAGTTCATAATGTTCCTGCTCAAAATGGTTTAGCAAAAACATTTATTAACCGGATGAAATTGATTACACACACTCTGCTTATGAAAACGGAATTGCCAGTTTCTACTTGGGGACATACCATTTTACATAATGCATTATTAGTTCAGTTGAGACATATTGTCAACCATTAATACTTCTCAGTACAACTCGTGTTTGGGCACTAGCCAAACATTAAACATTTACGAGTTTTTGGTTGTGTTATTTATATGCCTATTACACTGCCACAACGTACTAAAATGAGGCATCAACACAAACTGGGAATTTATGTTGGATTTGATTCACCATCTACCATTCAATATTTGGAACCCTTGACTGTGGATATGTTTACAGCACGGTTTGCGGACTGTCATTTTTTATAAGACAGTTTTCCCGCTATTAGGGGTAGAAAAGACCGTTCCATAATAACGACAAGAATTGTCGTGAGATATACGCACTTTGTCTTATTTTGATTCATGAAGAAATCAATGTGAAAATTAAGTGCGAATATTTGTTCATCTTCAAAGTATTGTCAATCAAATGTTAGATGCAATTAATAATGCAACAAATGTGATAATATCACATATACTAGCTGCAAATGTGCCTGCAAGAATTGATGTCCCTGTTGGACAAAATAATGTGGCAGCAAATAATTTATCTGCTGCACGCCTGAAGCGTGACAGACCCTCAGGCTCAAAAGATTCAGTCATTCAAAAAAGAAGAATATGGACACTACTAAACTATTGCATTCTCTAAGCATAATTGTTACATGCCGGAAGCATGACAGCTGCTATATGGATACACGTCCCAAAAGGACAATCCACGAACATGGGAATTTTGATGTCTCATGCATCAAGCATGATAGACGTATATGTTTCAATGACTCAACTCCTGGAAGTTGAGATTAAAATCCAAACTCTATAACGCTCAAGAGAAGGTTATGATCTGCATTCTCTAAACTATGATTATCTTGGAAGAGATAGTGTAATGCCCTTGAAGACGCAACAGATATCCAAAGAAATGAAAAGCTTTTATGCATGCGCATGTACATGAGAATATGAGATCACTGATTGATGATAACCAATGGTAATTTTAGTTTTTTACAAGTAGCTACTTAATTCTTCAATGAGCTGTGTTGATATTGAGTCTTATTCTTTTTTCATTAACAAAAAGAAAAATTATTGGCCAAAAATGGAGAAAGGCAATTCCATTACAATTTTGTAAGAACGTGGAAAAATGGACCTATATATGTATATAATACACAATAGCCAAAAGATGTTAAACCAAGAAGGTTACATATGATACAGTAAAATACACTCACATGATATGACACAAGGTTACTAATTGAAATCTGAAATTATACTCCTGTAAACGAGTTCATATGAATGGATAATTATATACGAAGGGTTGTGAGATGCCTACATCATATCTCCATAAGTAAATCCCTCAAGTGTACATGGGAGCCAGTTACTCTGTATAAATTCCAAAGGAGAATGTGTCATGAAGCGTAGAAAATCCATGAAGGATTCAAATTTCTTGAAGTAAGCCCTGTAAGGGTAAAGCATAAATTATGTACTCAATACCAATGGATGATATAAATTTCCTTAGTGAGTACTTTCATTATGATATTTTTGCAACACGCTAAATCTCTTGCAAGAGTTGATGATATTAGATTGGAACTCCTGAAGAGTCTAGAAAGATTATAAGTGTTGAAAGAATATTGTCTCGAGTTATAGATCGAACAATATGCCAACACGAATCTTATCCATGATGTTTATGATATTAAAGGACCGTATGGATTGAAGAATATGAATACTCAAATGATTAACTAATATTTAGACACTAAGAATGATCATGTATCTTCGTGAGGAAAAAGATAAATTGATATTTGGTCCAGAAGTACCACATCTTTATGAAATATATGCTTTATTGTATTTAGCACAACAATATTCTTATCCATTAAGGTTCATTGATTTATATTCTTGGAACTAGAATATTTCATCGTTTCCTCATTTATTTATTTATTATAAAACCAGAAGTTTTCCATGGGTTTCTATATCTAACAAGATGGAATAAAGGTTTTTAGGCATTGATGTGATAAATAATAGCACGCAAATTAAACCATCTTGTTGACAATTGTAGTAAAGATGCAAGTAGGGATCGTTCTAAATTGGGGATTAGGAGGATTGCTAATCTACTTGAAACTAACTCAAAAACATAAAACTAGGCTTAAAAACACTTAACTAGACTCTAAGACTCTTAACTAGACTTATATGACTCAAAACAAACTAAAAAGACTCAAAACAGCACAAAACTATCAAAATGACTCAAAACAGACTCTAAAGGATGATTTGGACTGAATTCTAACTTTAACTTGACTCAAAACACTTAAAAACACAATTTGGATAGATTCTAACTAATTTGACACAACAAAGTAAAGGGGATTGAGTTTTTGACGAATTTAAAGCAAAACAAATAGATTTAAAGAAGCAAAATAAAAGGATACAAATTTGGGTGAATTGATGGGTGATAAGCTAGCTAGAGGGTCATTCTCCACACATGACACACTTGCATACAAATTGATTTCCAGTTGTTTTTCCAATAAACCATGAACTCAACACCCTAAGTTAACCGTGATGCACAAATTAATCATCAGATTTTCCTACGTTTATTGAATTGGATGAATGCATACAACAACCCAAAGTATTCCTCAATAGTTCCCTACATGAATGGCATAATAGAGATACATATCAAGAATCATTAAGTTCTATAGAAATCATAAGCATTGACATGACATTTGTAACTATGAATTGCATGATACTCCTGCCA